CCTTTCTAATGCTCAACATTATCCTACTTGTCTTATATTAAGTAATGTAAGACAAATTTTGTATTGTGAATTATGTTGTGTAACTTGTTACCTATGGGCAAGAACAAAGAATCTCCCTTAATAGTAGCATGATGTGTGATACCTATACTTTTTAAATATTCATCTTCTTGATAGATTGAATATATACCTTTTCAAAAAAAATAAGTCAAAATCTAATAGAAGCTAAAATGTAATGGCATCAATCTTTTGAAATCTTCACCATTTTTTTTGAACATACCTATATATATGTATATATATATGTATATGTGTGTGAAGTTGGAGTTTAGGATTAGAGTTTAGGAAGTAGCAACTTCCTTCAAATAAAAATAAAAGAATCCTAAAAGAGAATTGTGCTTTCTCAAAGCATTTAGAGAGGACTTGAGATATATAGAAATTAAATTACCTTGGACTTTTGGAATGAATTCATATCGTTAAGAGATGGTGTGAGCAAGGAACATACCATTGCCAAATATCTAGAACGATACGAGTTATCTAGAAGAGCACTTGTGAAAGGCACAATCGAAAGCATGTCCACTTCGAAAGATGTCCATTTTGAAGTCTTCTCAGGAATAACAAAAGCTAGCAGGATGGGTGCTATCAAATCATTAGTACTGAAATCTTCAAGAGCCCATTGTATGGATTTCACACTCTGCAGCTCTTCTCATATATCTGGAGAACGACGACTTCACTTCGTAGATATTTTGTCGACGCTTCTGTGAAATTTTTGAACAGTGCTCGGGAGATTATTGCATGCAAGATTGCTGACAATAATTCTAGGTCGAAAATGTCAAATCGAGAGAGAATGCCCGTTACAGAACCCGTCGTTGCGACGACAGGAACTAGTACACTTCAAGTACTACAAGTTCGTCGAGCAAATGCGCTTTTCAAGCAGTGAAAGAACATAGGATTTGAGAAACTTTCAAGCTCCCACAAGCGTATCGAGACACTCCGTTAGAGCCATGTCACACATACAGACGCAGCAATGATGAAGAGGCCTTAAGGTGTGAAAAGAAGCACAAATCATACGCTTCCCATGAATTACAGGAACAAATGCTTGCCCTGAAACAGATATCAGTTTCATCCCCTAGCTGCACGCTGAGAAATCAGACATTGTGAGGTCTACAGCTTACACAAACAGAAGATATTTCGTATCAAAAGCATAAATTCTGACTCCCCAAACAAAAACCAATTCAAGTTAACAACACGATACAGTCCAATAATAAAATACTCTCAATCTGTACTCCATAATCTATAGAACATGAAAACCTGCAAGGATTGCCAACATATCCTGATGTACATGTGACATGCCATCATCACGCTAGTAGACATGTGAACTGAGATTGCAACACTTCGTCAGAAAGATAACGCCCTTTTTCAGAGCTTGACACCTTCAGCAAGCACTCAGACTAAACAAATAAGCTGCTCATCATGAGTACGAAAATTAGTCACAAACCCACAATCAAAGCTCGAAGTAAGAACAAAAAAAATGTATAAAGTGCTGAACGATGTGATCCAAAGACCGTTCACTGTGTCTAAACCCAAAAACTCCAGGTCCACAATGCACCAGAACCAATCATCCATAAACAAGAAACCAACAGCAAGTAAATTAACCTTATGCAATTCCAAATCAACCATATTCCACTCAACCAAACGAAAACTGGACCACGTTCACAACAAAAAATTGATAACCAACAGATTCAGACACCATCATGGCAGTTTCAAATAACTGCCATTTCCTCCCTAAATAAACTATGACACGAATTGTTCCTTCTCAAAAACAAATATCAGAGAAGCATTCCATGTAAGCAAAACGTAGGTACAGCATAGACATACAAAGAACTATTACCAAATCACAAACCCCATGCTTGCTATAAGACAACTCTTTCATCTAAAAGAAACAACTCCATTCAAACTCAATAAAACACACTAAAATGTAAGAGAATCATCAAACTTTAAGATGGCATACAGGACTATTCAAATTAAACAAAAGGAACATAACCCATACATAAAAATTTAAAATTAAAAAAAAAAAAAAAAAGGAAAAAAAAGGGTTAAGGGCACAACAAAACGAGCCGTCAATCCAGTCGTGAAGTATGAAGCGACCAATACAAGATTTCGCCACAGACAAGAAAGAATTTCTTTATCGGACATCTCGAAATTTCCCAGAATTAAAACCGCAAGTCCTACTCGGAATAACTCCATAACCCCGACCTATTGCCCTACAGGGAAACCTAACCAGCAGTTACAACCTAAGTATCCTACAAAAATGCCTAAATTACAACCTGAGGAGGAGAGAGAGTGTGGAGTATTGGCTATGCGAGCACGGCGAGGATGTCCTGGACCCTCAACACCACGTACTGCGTCCCATCCTTGCCCTTGAAGTCGTTCCCCGCGTACTTCGAATACAGCACCGTGTTGCCCTTCTGCACCTCCAGCGGCTTCCGCTCGCCGTCCTCGCCGTAAGCGCCCGGTCCCGTCGCCACCACCGTCCCGATCACGGGCTTCTCCTTCGCGTTCTCCGTCAGCAGCACGCCCCCGGCCGTCTTCGACTCCAGCTCCGTCACGCGGATGAGCACGCGGTCGTTGGCCGGCTCTAGGTCCTTCACGTCATCCGTCGCCAATAGGCCCACAACGTCGTCCTCCTTGAGCAGGAGATGCGGCTCGCCATTGAAATCCAACTCTGTGCCCGCGAACTTGGAGTACACGATCTGCGCGCCGGACTTCACAGCGGACTCCAGCTTCTTGTCGCCCAGGGTCTTGCCGTCCCCCACGGCCACCACCTCCCCGCCCTGGGGCTTGGTCTGCGCCGAGGTAGGGAGCAGGATGCCGCCCATGCTCTTCTCCTCCGCGGCCTGAATCTTGACCAGAATACGGTCGCCCAGGGGCTTGAGCGTCGTGAACTGGGGCGCTACGGCTGTGGCAGCGCGCGCGATGAGGAGGCACCTGCGAGGAGAGGAGGCAGCGAAGGAGACGTGGCTAGTAGGGTTGAGCTGGGCAGAGCGCCCGGGAGTAGCCCTGAGGCCCTGGAAGGAGGCCAATTTGCAGGTCCGGGCGTTGAGCGCCGTTCCGACCTGGGCTGCCATTGCGGGGGGGGGGGGATTGATTGAATCAAGGATGCGACGCAAAACGTGAACGCAGCAGCGCAGGGCAGCGCGGTACAATGCGAGAAGAGAGGAGGGAGAAGGAGAGAATTGGAATTGGGGGCGACAGAAGGACGGAGTGTGAAGGGAAGGGAAGGGAAGGGAAGGGGAATGGGGAATCGAACCGAAGAGGGCGTCCGAGAGTAGAGAAGTTGCGCTGCGGGATGAGAGGGGAGGTGGGGTTTTGGGCTTTGATGGGTCTTTGGAACCCTCCAGAAAAGCGGAGGGGAGGAAGCAGGGTCCTTTCTTTGAGGCTTTGGTCTTGATCCTTGGTCCCCGTCGTCGTCGCGTGTCTCTGGGAGCTTCCTTGTGGATAATGCCCCTTCCCTTCCTTCCTTCCCCTGGCTTTCACTCTCGCTCGCTGCCGACGCTTTGCCTGCTCCCCCCCTCTCAGCAGAGATGGATGGTCCTGTGCCCTCTGCCCCTCCGAACACCAGGCTCACTCTGTTCTCCGTGACAGAGCATTGGTAGCTAACGTACTTCGTGCATACGATCCTCGACTCCCCTCCACCCTTCTCGCTTTATGGCGGGGATCGATAGTTGGAGAAATTTGACTGGTATGCGCAGGACATAATGTGTTCATACATGTCAGCATGGCCGAGTGGTCTAAGGCGCCAGACTCAAGTTCTGGTCTTCGTAAGGGGGCGTGGGTTCGAACCCCACTGCTGACAAAGGGCTTCTATGACTTGTGGCGGCCCGACTAAATACATGTTTCCGATCGCCTCACAGTAAGGTCAACTTTTCAAATCTTACCACGAGCTTTTACCAAGAGCTTTTGACACAAATGAGGAAGCCCCGTCGCAAAGATTAGAGAATAGGAAACAACAAAACCATCCAAGTCTTAACACTTAACAATTCTAATAAGTGTTTGTTCTGTCACTGACTCTCTTGTCAAGTTATTCATCATATATGAACTTATAAACCTTAATTGTATAAGCTAGTTATGACATTTTAATTCTTTTACACACATTAATTTTTTTTAACTCTACAAATAAAAATAAATAAATAAAATCTAAATTGAAAAAATTATACAACTTTGAAACATCACTCTACTCTAATTAGTGTTGTAATACATCTAATCTTCTTTTTGTCACTCAATTGCTACTAAATTATTGTCACAACGCACCACTTCCACTAGGGTCCATAGTTGATGTACAAGAGGAATTATGCCAAAACTACAATCAACTCAAGCAAGCCATGAACACATCAAAGCAACACAAAGAATCATGTTGTTGTGATGCACTTAATTTAAGTTCATTTAAATTATTTGGAAGGCAATTAGTTTTACTTGTAGGGGGTAGGAATATAATGCTATTAAACTTCTAATTTGTCAAAAATTAATGTGTGTAAAAGAATTAAAATGTCATAACTAGCTTATACAATTAAGGTTTATAAGTTCATATATGATGAATAACTTGACAAGAGAGTCAGTGACAGAACAAACACTTATTAGAATTGTTAAGTGTTAAGACTTGGATGGTTTTGTTGTTTCCTATTCTCTAATCTTTGCGACGGGGCTTCCTCATTTGTGTCAAAAGCTCTTGGTAAAAGCTCGTGGTAAGATTTGAAAAGTTGACCTTACTGTGAGGCGATCGGAAACATGTATTTAGTCGGGCCGCCACAAGTCATAGAAGCCCTTTGTCAGCAGTGGGGTTCGAACCCACGCCCCCTTACGAAGACCAGAACTTGAGTCTGGCGCCTTAGACCACTCGGCCATGCTGACATGTATGAACACATTATGTCCTGCGCATACCAGTCAAATTTCTCCAACTATCGATCCCCGCCATAAAGCGAGAAGGGTGGAGGGGAGTCGAGGATCGTATGCACGAAGTACGTTAGCTACCAATGCTCTGTCACGGAGAACAGAGTGAGCCTGGTGTTCGGAGGGGCAGAGGGCACAGGACCATCCATCTCTGCTGAGAGGGGGGGAGCAGGCAAAGCGTCGGCAGCGAGCGAGAGTGAAAGCCAGGGGAAGGAAGGAAGGGAAGGGGCATTATCCACAAGGAAGCTCCCAGAGACACGCGACGACGACGGGGACCAAGGATCAAGACCAAAGCCTCAAAGAAAGGACCCTGCTTCCTCCCCTCCGCTTTTCTGGAGGGTTCCAAAGACCCATCAAAGCCCAAAACCCCACCTCCCCTCTCATCCCGCAGCGCAACTTCTCTACTCTCGGACGCCCTCTTCGGTTCGATTCCCCATTCCCCTTCCCTTCCCTTCCCTTCCCTTCACACTCCGTCCTTCTGTCGCCCCCAATTCCAATTCTCTCCTTCTCCCTCCTCTCTTCTCGCATTGTACCGCGCTGCCCTGCGCTGCTGCGTTCACGTTTTGCGTCGCATCCTTGATTCAATCAATCCCCCCCCCCCCGCAATGGCAGCCCAGGTCGGAACGGCGCTCAACGCCCGGACCTGCAAATTGGCCTCCTTCCAGGGCCTCAGGGCTACTCCCGGGCGCTCTGCCCAGCTCAACCCTACTAGCCACGTCTCCTTCGCTGCCTCCTCTCCTCGCAGGTGCCTCCTCATCGCGCGCGCTGCCACAGCCGTAGCGCCCCAGTTCACGACGCTCAAGCCCCTGGGCGACCGTATTCTGGTCAAGATTCAGGCCGCGGAGGAGAAGAGCATGGGCGGCATCCTGCTCCCTACCTCGGCGCAGACCAAGCCCCAGGGCGGGGAGGTGGTGGCCGTGGGGGACGGCAAGACCCTGGGCGACAAGAAGCTGGAGTCCGCTGTGAAGTCCGGCGCGCAGATCGTGTACTCCAAGTTCGCGGGCACAGAGTTGGATTTCAATGGCGAGCCGCATCTCCTGCTCAAGGAGGACGACGTTGTGGGCCTATTGGCGACGGATGACGTGAAGGACCTAGAGCCGGCCAACGACCGCGTGCTCATCCGCGTGACGGAGCTGGAGTCGAAGACGGCCGGGGGCGTGCTGCTGACGGAGAACGCGAAGGAGAAGCCCGTGATCGGGACGGTGGTGGCGACGGGACCGGGCGCTTACGGCGAGGACGGCGAGCGGAAGCCGCTGGAGGTGCAGAAGGGCAACACGGTGCTGTATTCGAAGTACGCGGGGAACGACTTCAAGGGCAAGGATGGGACGCAGTACGTGGTGTTGAGGGTCCAGGACATCCTCGCCGTGCTCGCATAGCCAATACTCCACACTCTCTCTCCTCCTCAGGTTGTAATTTAGTGAATGTATCTGGCAGAATTGGTACCTTGATATATTTTACAAGTTAGTGATTAGATAGTGGATCAGAATTTGGTACAAGAGGTTAAGTGGAACCGTTGGAAGTTTTGTCTGCCTGTCATGGTGGTGAGGTAATTCTTTGGTAAATTGTATCTTTGTGAAATGGATTCTTGGACATTTATTTCATTTCTGCCTAATGTCACCTGTTTTTCTACTTTACACTATTTTTTCCGTTGTAATGTGGCATTGTGTTGGCCATTGAGTTCTGTGTCAAGTGGCCAGCGGGATCAGTTTATGATTTGTGGTGTAGATTTCCGTGAATTCTCATGATCGAGCCCGTACGCTCCTGTTGTGCAGTGGAAATGGGCTGTTCTTGTGGTTGTGTACTCTTCGCATTTACAGAATTGTCTGGGTATGATCGGTTTATTCGGCATTTGGACGTCATGGTTGATTTCGCACGTATGCGTTGTATTTTTCGCGAACGAATGAAGTTATAATTTGAGCTCTTCTTTTCGCGTTCTCTTCGTTTTTGTGGAATAGCTTTTGTTCCGGTCATGTGTGCTTGGTTGTTGATAGAATCTTTAGTTTTTTTTGTTTTTTTTGTTTTTTTTGTTTATCCTATCGCTTAGATCGGGATCAAAGGAATGCATTTTTGAGTCTTAGAGAACAGAGTTAGTCAGCATAATTTAGTATTTATAACCTTCAATAGATACGTAATTATTGGGACTTTTCATCGAATATATGTATTGTGCTAAATAGGGGGACTGGATAATATATTCTGTTCTCTTAATTCTTGGGTTTGTATTTTTCTTGCCTTTAGATTGATCAGTAGCACGTGTCCTCGACTTCAGAACGCCGCTGCATAATTGTGACATTGCATGACATTCCATGACTTCAACGCAACTCGCTCCAGACGGAGCTTCTAGTCTATCGGTCTGGCTCCCTTTGTCTCCTTTACGATTCCTCACCCTCCTCTTGCACGAATAGTCGATTCACATACTCTTTCCAATTATCTACCATTGTGTATTTTAGTCGATGAGTAAAACTTTTTCGGTTTGAAGGAATCCGAAATTAAAGGAGAGCAGAGTGATGGGAGGAAAATTTGGCCATCTGGGAATAGTTATTTAATGGCAGATCTTTCGAGTTTCGATTCTTGTGTGTGAAGTGGAACACAATCCAACAGGTGCCGATCAAATTAAATGTAACAGGAAATAAATGGTGCTTAAAAGTATTCGACCACATTGCACTTGAAATGACGGGATTGAAGCAATGGAGGCTTGTCAATCACTCGTCGACTCAAATGCGAAACGGTGCTTTAACTTCGTGTGTTCACTTGTCCTTAAGTGTGACCTATCGGCAGTTCTTCATGCCTCAGTCTAGACCTGCACAAGGTGAACATTTATCAAGAATTTCGTTTATTCCAAGGACCTAGCCTCCATTGGAGCCTGGTTGTATGAATGCTAATGGTGTCAAAAACCTTGACAAAATTCTGTGGCACTTGTTTATACACATGACTAAGTGACTGAGTGTTATGAAAACATGATGGATATCATTTGTTGCAAACAAAATGTGTATTAGTTAAGAGCTGGATAAGTCACAACTTTTGGTACATATAATATGGAATATTCAACACTCCTCTTTTAGAAGTGGGATTTAATTCTATATTGAAATAAGTCTTAACATATCCTTGAAAGCTAGAAACTTATCTCTAAGAAGAGGTTTTATAAAGATGTCTCTGCCATCTGCTCTGTGGAATAATATTCCAAACCAATTTATTCTTTCTCCACACATTGCTTAATAAAATGATGTTTTATATTTCAATGTTTTGTACAACCATTGTGTGTTGGATTCTTGGCAATAGCAATGGCATTTTGGTTATTCTTATTAACAAGAATTCTTTCCAACTCAAGAATGTCATAATTCTTAAGTACTTTACAAAGCCACAAAGCCTCTTTAGTTGCATTAGCTAAAGTTTCATACTTTGCTTTTATTAAAAAAATAAAAACTAAAAATTGCTTCTTGCTTGACCAAGTGATAATTATTCTACCTAATATAAATGCATAACCTCCTACTAAATAATGTGTCTCTATATAACCTACTCCATCTACATTACTGTAGCCTACAAGTTGTAAGTGTGCTTCTTTTTCTCCATATTGCAATACCAAAATATTTGGTTTATTGCAAATAATGAAATATTCATTTGATTCTTTACCAATGCAAAATATTTGGATGTGCTATATATTGAACAAAGTATTTACAAGAAAATGCAATATCATATCTTGTACCATTTACAAAGTACAAAAATAAACTTAAAGATTTTGATAAAACTTTATATCTTCTACATCCAAAAAATCATCATTTTCATGCTTAGTGACATGACTTTGTACTATTGGTGTAGTAACTACCTTTGCACATTTTTTTCCAAATTCCTCCAACTTTTGACAAATGTACTTAATTTGGCTCAAACTAATAGTATTTTTTATTTTTTTATTTTTTATTTTTTATTTTTTTATCTTGCAAAAAATCAATGCAAAGAAAATGACAAGTTTCACCAAGGTTCTTTATCTTGTAGCACTTTCACAATTGATGTTTGTATTTCACAAGGATCTCAAAGTTCTTGCTATTAATAAGTACGTTATTAACATAGATAATTAGTGCAATAATTAGTTCTTCAATGTACATTGTGTACAAACAAGGATCTGATTTTGAGCGCTTCTACCTAAGATTCAATAAAGTTTTATCCAAATCCTTGTTCTATCCACATCTAGATTGCTTTAAACCATATAAAGTCTTTAGTAATTGAAACACCTTGCTTTTGTATTTTGAGAGAACTTCAAATCTTTTAGAGTCTTCATATAAATATTATCTTCTTTAAGTTCATCATTTAAATAAGTTGAAATAACATCAAGTTACAATATATTCCAATTAAGAGTAGTTGCAATTACAACAAATATACAAAGTATTGTAAGATGAATAATTGGTACAAAATTTTCTTAGTAATCAAGACCCTTTACTTGAATAAAACCCTCTGCAACTAATTGTGCTTTAAAACATTTAATGGAACCATCGTTAGCAAGTTTTTTCTTAAAAATCTATTTTGAATCCATAGCCTTCATGTCTTCGGATAAAAATAAAAATTTCTATGTACCATGATCATTCAAAGAATTGAATTCTTCTTTCATAGTATGACTCCATTCTTTGCAAAAATATGAATTCATAGCTTACTCAATAGTCTCTAGTATTGAATATTTATTAATATGAATTACATATATTATTTCAATTAATAAGTCATAATCTCTTCAAATAAATTTTTTGTCTTTTTTTCAAGGCGTGCAATACATCCTATTACCACTTATAATATTAGCTAGATTAATACTACTTACATAATGACATATTGGTGGTAGAGCTTGAGTGATTGCTTTCACTTCTGATTGATGGAATTCTACTACTTTTGTTGGTATAAGATTTGATTCTTCTTCATTTTTCCACCTAATCCATCATATACATCTAATCTTAAGGCTTGAGGTTGGGATATTTCTAAGTCACTTAGATGTCAAAAATCTAGTAAATCAAGATCATTTCTATGATCCATATCTTCTCCAATTTTTTTTTGATGGATTAATAGTTCACCAAGTGATTCATCCTTATTATTAAGAAAAATTACAACTTGAGTAATAAAAATCTTCTTTTTTTTAGGTACAAAAATTTCATATTCTTTTGTCACTTCTGAATATTTAAGAAAAATATCCTTCTATGCCTTTGCATTGAGTTTTTGATGTTTTTCTTTTGATATGTAATACCTAGTAGGAAAACCAAAGCAATGAGCATTTTGAAGAGAAGATTTTTTACCATAAAAAACTTTGTGTGGTGTCTTACCACTAAGTCTTGCAAATAGAAGGCAATTGTAAGTCCAAGTCAAAAATTTTGCTACAAACATCTAATATTGATGATTCAACTTGGCATCATTTAGAAGTATTTTTACTCCTTCAAAAATAGTTGACATCATATGCTCTGCCATAATTACAATTTCATATATATATATATATATATATATATATGCAAGGATAATCATGTGCCAAATTCCTTCAACTTTGAAGTAAGAATTAAGATTATTATTTAAGAATTTAATGCCTTGATCAATGAAAAAAGTTTTTTTTAACTTTCTTTCAATTCTTCTTTGTGCCTCTACTTCTCAAGTCTTATAGGCAATATATACTTGGTTCTTAGTTTCAAAAAATGCAAGACTACAATAGCTAAAATATTCATCAATCTACATAGCTAAGAATTTAGTGCCACCAAAGCTTATTATATTAGAATAACTAAGGTCAAATACTATTACATCTAAAATACCATTGGCATGCTTATGCTTATGTGAGAAAGGTTGACTATGGACCTGCCAACAATACATAATTCACATATACGTATTTTATCCCTCTCTTCATTGATTTTTAATTCTTCAATATAATTCATCCGCGATGCCTCTCATATTGTATGCATTAAAATATGTGCTAATACCTAATGCTATTTAATGAGTATATGATCTAAAATAGCTGAACTAGAAATTGTGACAACTTTTTCAATTTTACAAGGCATAAAATAAGCTTTAATGACTAGTATGCCTTATGTGAGTAAGTCACCTAAAGATAGAATCCAATTCTTTCCATTCATATCCAAATTGAATCTGCAATCTTTCTTGCATAAAGTTGCACTTGATAATAAAGTATTATGTGCTCCAAGAATCCAAAAGACATCCTTCACAACCACAAGAATGTGTTTACTTATAGAATTTAAAATTGTGAGATGCATCTCACCTAAGCCTCATAATTTACTAATGTCACAATCATAGCCTTTAAATTGGATAGTTGCATTTTTATTAAAATTAATAATCTTACTCTTGTTTCTTTGGATTTACACATATATTGTACTATCAATGCATATATAATGTCGTAATTGAAACAATGATGCAATCATTATTTTTGAATTATATAATATCTCTTGAGCTCTAAAAATAATAGAAATTTCAACATTTACTACACCATTTCTATTTGTTTTAGGACATTCTACATCACTTTGTCAATGCCCCTTTTATCTACAAGCCCTCAAGTACTTTTAGACTTATCAATCTTAGGCTTCTCTTTTTGTTGTAGATGGTGCTTCTTTAAGGCTTACTTTTCTCTTGTATACATTGTTGAAGCAAAAAATAGAGAATTAGTCTTCTCCTTCTTTTCTATCTCTTCCTCAAAAAAAATATATTGCTCTATTTCTTCCATGATCTCTTTTCTTTTCTTTGATGCAATCAATTAAATAAGTGGATTCTATAATTCTGATAATACGGTAAGTATAAATAATGCCATGCTTTATTTGTCCATTTTACAAGCAACTTCAATATACTGATTCCTAAGATAAAAAATCTCTCCAAGAAAAATCTCTATAGAGTTTTCATCCACATATAAAAAAATCTATTAATTTTTTTAAAAAAAATTATATAATTTTTTCATTAAAAATATCTCAATAATAACTTCCAAAGGCTTGTGGATCTTAGTCAATATGTCCCACATCTCATTTGTACTATTACATTTGCATATATGAATTAATTGCAAAGGCTTAACGTTGAATGAAATCAATGCTTGTACTTTTGCTTTACTTGATTCACATTTTAATTTTTCATCAATATCCATAAGACATTCTAATGTCTTGTTTACATACATGTAGAGCTTACAAATATGCATCAAGTATTTCATAACAAATGTCCATGTATCATAGTTTTTTTTTTCATCTAACCAATTAATGCAATGATCCATTGAAGAAGATGCCATTTCCAACTACAATTAATGAAATAGCAAGAAATATCTAGAAAGGAAAAATTAGCAAATGGTCTACAAAATACAATATTTAGAAAGTAGTAGTAGTACCAAGCTATATTGGAGCAAAAAAAAAAATATTTTTATTGTCATCAACAAATAGAATTTAATTAAATAAAATTTAGTATTAATAGAATTAAATAAAATTTAGTATTAATAGAATTAAATTCTAACTTTAGCAAAATTCCAATAGTTTTAACAAGATTCTAGAAAAGCTTCGGCAACATTCTAATAGCTCTGTGGCTTTGATAGCATTTTAGTGGTGATGGAGCTCCAAGAACAAGTTTGTTCAATCTTCAAAAAAATATCCAAATTTTTCATTCAAACTTTGTTCAAAAAATTTCATCCATAGCATTATTCATGTAGCTTTGATACCGTGTTACAAAAATAGGATATATTATGAAAACATGATGGACATCATTTATTACAAACAAAATATGCCAAAAGCCAAGAGGAAGATATAATTGGTATCTTAGTTAAGAATTGGATAAGTCACAGCTTTTGATACATATAATATGTGCATTCAACACAAATATAAATAATATATTGAATAAGTCGATTGCAAGGCAATTGCTGCCCAAAATATGCTGTAATATTTGTAAATGGGCTTTTTTTGGCATGAAGTTGGATCAAGTAGATTGGCACCCTATGCACATAGAGATCTTGAGTTTTTCTCATGATATGTTATATGTAACTTTATTTAATTCATAATTATTGATTAAATGATAATTTTTTAAATTTATAATATTATTAATAATATTTATTGAATTGAAAGATAATTTAATTTAAGTTGTAATAATACACTCATTTTTCTTTAATCACATGAATATAAAGAATGTTAAATAGATCCAAGATTTTACTAAATTAATCCATCCATTTTAACTATCATAAAAAAATTAAATGTGTTTTTAGATTCATTTTTCTATTATTAATTTTACAATAAATAAAAACCAACCACATTCATTTTGATTATCAATTTCTTCATCAAAGGTGGATATGTTTAGTAAAAGTATGGATCTATTTAACATTCTCCTATTTTTAATGGAATTATCTTTAATAAATATGAAAGAATAAGGTTTATTTATCTTAATTAGTATGTTTAAACATAGATTTTTTAGATATTAAATTGCATATATTTATTTATTTATGTACATCTAAAAATAATTATTTTTAAAAATTCAATTTAAAAATTTGATCAAATATATTTACAATTGCAATGCTATAAAGATAAGGACTAAAATTGCTAAACTTCTTAAAGATAGTATAGAAGGTATACCAAACGTCCACCAAATATGGCATACTTTGTATTTCAAAGGTTCTACATGTGTTCTCTCTAAAAACGTTTATACATTAAGAATGGTAGACAAACTTGTTATATTTTATATATAACTAATAAACAAAGAGTATAAGGTATTATCATACTATCTCTTACATTGCACCTAATAATTTTTTTTATAAATAATTTGTATGTATATATATATATATATATATATATAATTTAAAATACTAAATATTATAAATAAATATTAAAACAATATTTTATTAAAATATCTTTCAAAGATTCAGACGGAAAATGACTTTAAAAAATATTTTTGTAGTAAATTAGACATTTAGTTTCTAATATCTTTGTCAATACCCATATTGCCAAGTTTGAGGCTACAAACTTGCTGAAGGAAAGAGAAAACTTAAATGCTATAAAGAAATAGAAGAATTAAGGTCCAACCATATTTCTAATATTGTGCTATTGAATATACATATTACTTCATGTAGATTTTGTTGTGACGTTTTTTTTTGAAACTATTTCTAATCATAAAAATAAATAAATAAATAAATAAATAAATAAATAAAAACATCTTTAATGAGTTGTAGTTGGTATAATTTTATTGTAAAAATGTACTATGTTAAATAATTTGGATATTTTTGTTAATGGCACTAACACAATTTTATTTTGTTAATGAGAGTGTTTATTTGTTTATTTGTTTATTTCTTCTTACATTATTTGTTTCTTACAAAAAAACCTTCTTGTTATTTTTTAATATAATAATTGATGCTTATTACAAAAATTAGTGCTTCTAAAAATTATAATGTAGATCAACATGTTCATCAAAACCACTCTTTGAATGATCATCACCACTTCTATCTATAGTTTTTTTTAATTGTCTCAAAGCTTTGCAAGTGAATAATTATTAATTCTTCTTTATAACTATTGTACAGATTTGAATGCAATTACTATCTTAAAGTCTACATCATCTACTTTACACAATAAATAGTTGTGTTTCTTATATGTTTTTATTTACAATACAAGGTTTAGAACATTGTTTAACCATTTATGTTCTTAAGGCAAATATTGATGATTTCTTTCTAAGACATTGAAGCATTGTTTGAAAACCAAATAGTATTATCATATTTTTAATAAATAAATTATATTCAATTATGAATATATATATATATATATATATATATATATATATATATAATCTAATATAAAATGATATTTGTAATATTTTTTAATATAAATACTTGTAAAGTCTATTTTAGTTGGATTTCAATATTGTAAAGATTCATAAATAAATATTCATGCAACTCTTAATTTTCAACTAAGCTTCAAAGATTTAGTTGCAATATTATGATATAGCTATAATTGCTCATTTAAACATTCATAATATGCTTTATTAAAATAATACAATCTATAAAAAATAGACCAAAAATATTTATCACAAAAAGTAATTTTTTTCTTTAAAAAAGAAAAGAAAAAAAGAAGTTAATTTAAAAATCCAAAAATTATAGTACAAAAATAATGAAATAGAATTATATGTGTTTGCCTCCCTAAAGACTAGATGTAACCTTGACAGGTCTTTAAAACATGTTGGATGCAACTTTGGCCACTTTTCAAAATACATAAAAATAAAAACTTTACCGAGTGTGTTTTCCAACATTTTAATGGTGCATTAAGGTAGCTGTCCTATTTTTGATAACTTAAGCATTTCAACATATATGCAACAAGTATAAAAATGAAAGAAAAATATCCTTCTATACAACAATAGAAATCAAGAAGATTTTAGATGTTTTCACATAATTTGGCTCATAAAATATATATATATATATATATATATATATATATATATAAATAAATAGTTGATTTGAAAGATTTCTTCAACCCAAATCTGATATATAGACTAACCTAATTCCAATTAGTAGTGGATTAGAATATTAAAAATATTTTTTTTCCATAATTGAGAAGTGTGGCACCTAATTATGTTATCAAGCTTCATCTAATTCTATATTACCTACAAATGTTAATATATGAATGAAGTATCCAAAATTCAACCAGCTCCGACTAAACTTGAATTCCACCCCAACCAATCAACAATTGCCATCTACATTGGAACACACCCACTCCATCTTGCGGCACTTTTCTATCATCAAAAACATTATAAACTTAACAAATACTAGGTCTATTTCCAACCAAAAGGTGTCAATATCGGTCATAAATAAGATGCCAAACTCATGGAAATACTCCACCTTGTAGGTCAAAACTGGGGGGTAGTTGAAAATAAGCTGACTGTCTTAGATTTGCAACACAACCAACACCACCAACAGCAGAGAGCAAGTAATCTCATTAGTAGATGAGAGAAAGTCTAGCAATCTCCTCGTCCACTACATGGTGGATGTGTCACCATCGAGAGATTGAATCCTCCAATATCTATGATATTTTACTCTATATGTTATTCCAGTTAGAGATTGTGTTGGAATGGAGAAGCGACACCTCTGACGAGAACTCTTCGCCAGATTCGCAAGCTTCTGCACCATCTGTGCGTCACTTGTGAACTTTGGGGTTGTAGGCCAGGCCCCAGTTGGCGCTTCTTATCGTAACGTGTTTGGTTGTCTCAATCATTTCTTCGAGTGGGGTTAATGGCAATTGTAGGGTTTTACTGAGGGAGTTCATAGGAATATTTTGTGAAATATTGGGCATAAGTGACTATTTTGAGGGAATAATATTTGCCACTCCACGTTGAGTTTTCGTCTGTGACGGGTGATGGACAGTTCACACCGTCATGTTCATTTGGAGTGGAGGTAGAAACCATGGAACAATAATAGAACCATTGTGCAGCAAAAAAGAGATGACTTTAGCTTTGCAAATAAGCGTTCGTTACTGAAACTGCTCCGAATAATGACCTGTGGCAGAGTTATCAAATGCAAGGAGGAATCGATAAAGGAACTGTTGTAATACAACAGTGAATTCGCTTGTACGTAAATGATATTAGTGCTAGAATCGATTCTGAATTACAATTTTTAGGATTTACTATCATCTTGACTGCTGAACTATCAGTTGACAATGGTTGAAACCTCAAACTAATCCATGCTTCAGTACACCTTCAATCAAAACAGAACCTCCAACATCTGCGTAGCTAAGGACCGAGGGAGAAGATTAGGAGTCTTTTCTACAAAGATACATACACCAGCCTTATTCTGACAAGACATGTAAGGAGCACAGCAAGGTTAACGCTCTTAAACACCTGCTGTCACAATACTGGCGCTGCACAAGAGTTTATCCAAGAACTCTTAGCCTACAAACAAGCTGTAAATTTAGAGGTAATGATTTGTGGTGCATCATTTAAATCGTATACAAATCTGGTTTAATTGCCGCCAAATAGGTAACCCAAGGAGGATCCTCCGCCAGGAGCAGCGTGGACCTTTGTCGTAGGTCGGTCCTGTAATCAGAAACAGGTGCCTGCTGATCAGCTACAAGACCAACCAAAACCAATGCAACTGCTTATCCTCTTTAAAAGCAAACTTTTGAGATTCTAAGAGTCTTCAAAACTTAGGCTCGATGAACCGATCGAGCAAAGTCTTCAGTGCATGCAAACATGCTCGGATCGATTCTGCATGCTAATCAGTATGCTTCAGGTGAAGTCAAGCAGAGTGAGATCTAAACGGTGCAGAATCAATGTTGAGACATCACCAAAGAAAGCATCCAACGCTGTAAGCTACCAGCGCCAGTCGCAGAATCAGTGTATTTGAGATCACACATCACCCCATTTCCCAAAGCAGGGATGTGACCCTTGTAAGGGAGTAAATTAGATTTAACAGTTATTGCATTTTCCACAATACAATCTCTCAATTAGAAACAGATAATGACACTAAAAAGGAGCTGAGGCATACCACAAACAAGACCTACAGACGTCAAACCGGGGAATATTCACAGCATGATTATCAAGTGCATCCAGATATGATCTGGGAGCAACTACTCACAACTACTGAACTCAACACATCAAACTTTGGTACATTAGTAAACCATGTCTGGAGTAGCAACTTCGCCCCAGAACCTAGTGTGTAGATGCTGTGAGACAAATTGCCGAGCTCAAGATCAAAGAGATGGAAGACCCGGACGTGGCAAAGAAGTCTGGCGGCGATGACCCATCACGAGTAGAAAGAAAATTTCGATCCTAATGTTGGCAATATAGTGAGAAACTGTTTCAAACTTTCTCGTCTACTTTCTTGTCCCGCTCAAGACTAGACTTAGATGTGATAGACCCGAAATTCAAACACGAAAAACCAACAACAACAAAGAGAAGAGACAAGACAGGGCGCAGATCTGGAGGCTTACGGTGATGAAGTTTCCATTGTTCTGACCATCAGCACGGTGGTAGTTGTTCGAGTTCCGGCCCATCTTGTTGGCGCCCATGTCCAAGGACGTCCCTTCGTCAACCTTAGACACAGGAGCTGCTGCAGGGGCAGACTTCTCCTCTGCGACGTTATTCCTCGCAAACCCAGCCGCTCGCTGCTCAGCTGGCGGCTGCTGAGGCTCTAGGGCAGGAGCCCTGGCAGCAGGCTTAGCAGGGCCGGCATCGCTCCCGAACAGATACCCCAAGGAGCTTTGCCCTCCACCGCTGCTACCTCCACGCACCATGATCCCTGCCTCTTCACTTCTTTCTTGATCTGCTCACACACTCAATACCCCACAATCCAATCCCATCACCACACAGACACAACCTTCAGGAACACCCCAGATCTCACGTCCACACTCCCCAACACCCAACTACCAAACATCAACCATCACGACAGAAATACCAACAAAACTAACCAATCAAACAAACAAACAATCAAACAGCCCAACCAACCAACACCACCCAGATGTGGGTAACCTCCAGATCTTGCCACAGAACTCAAAACCAAGAAACAACACATCGAAACAACATCCAGTCACATACCACCACATGTGAAACATACCAAAACAAACGTAAAGAATGTCAAAACACAACGAGACATGGGCAGAGAGAAAGAGAGAAAGAAAGACGATGCACCTGAATGTGTGAGAGCAGCACGAAAGACGACGCAGAGAAGTATGGGAAGAGCGTGCACAGAACAGCAGAGAAACAAGGCAAGACAATACAAGACAAAGCCACAAAGACAAGGCCTCCGGAGCTTCGTCTTGGGCTTTTTGTGGCAGTGGGGGATATTTTGGGGCTCCACTGGCTGGGTACCTGCCCTGCTGGGCACACCCTTGCTTCTTCTTCATCTCCCCCCTTCTTCGTCTTCTACTTCTTCTGCCCTTGCCTTGTGAACCTTCAATTCTCCCCCCTGATCCACTGCTTCTTGCTGATTAGGACTTCACTAATTCTCCATTAGCGTATCCTGCACTCAAATCTCACTCATGCTCATTTACTGTTGTTTGGACATTGGCTGTTCCGCAAGTACACATGTTTGTGGAAAACTTGCCACTGAAATGTGGTGTTTAGGAGTTGGCGATCAGGTGCGAACAAAATCAACGAAGTTAGTGATGGAATTGAGAGTTTGATGCTTGGTCTCTTACCACGCCTTGTAATTCCATTATGCTTTTTTCATGATTTTTTCATTTATTATTTATTTCGAAAAGATAATTATTTTGGTGAATCGTAGCTCTGGAATGTTTCTAATGTATTAAGTCCACTTTATTTGATGTTGGTCTTCATTATTTCTTTCATTGTTCTTTTTAGATTCTTTGGAATATTTTACAACAAAGATTCTTGCAATCATAAATAAATAAAAGATGTGTAAAGATATCATGTCGGTTGATCTTGTAAAGATGCATTATAAGTTACATTTAAAAATATATGTATGCATATATGTATAATAAAAAATAAAATATTTTGTGTGTGTATTTATATATACATATATATATATATATATATATGTGTGTGTGTGTGTGTGTGTGTGTAATTTTATTATAATGTATAATAAAATAAATTATATGCATTTTTTTAAATAATTGAATGTTTGTGGACTTTATCTGCAAAAATAACAATGTTTATTTGTATTGCATTATTATGTAAGACATATTACACAACAAAGGCACTAAGATGTTGTAGAATAAGATTCTCATTCATTTGTTTTTCTTGTCTCTAGTAGACTTCTATCTTGCTGTAATGGATAGAGTGGGCCAATGGTTTATTTGCTTTATAGGGATAAAACTTTAGTTGTAGTATATGCGGAGTATGGGATATAGACAGCTTTCAAAGAAAATTGATTTGGATCTTTAGACAAAAGGTATGCATTTATTTTAGAACTTTTTTTTGATGCTCATCATTTTTTTTAATAATGAAAAATGAAAGTGATAAATTCTATAATTTTTTTTCTTCAGTTATTACTTATACCTAGAAAAAATGTACATATCATGAAAATAAATATTTTTTTATTATCATTCTTTTTTTAATTTAAAAAATAATAATACAAAATTAATATCTTACCTTATTCTAATAAATCTATATGTTAGTTTTTACTTCAAATAATTTTTTCACAAAAATAAAACTTTAAATCTTAATTAGATAAATTAGAAACTTTAAGTTATTCTTAAATATAAACCAACTGGTATAGCAAGTTGTTCTTTTCTTATAAATTATATTTTTGATTTAATCATATAATATTTTAACATAATATTATAATCAATTCAGAAATTGAACAAAAACAAAAACAAAATTAAAAACTATGAAAAGTTTAGCACTAAGAAAAAAATTATAAATTAATTTTTTAAAATTGGATTTGGAATAAGAATCTCTTCAAATATTAAACCCTAGTAATAGAATATGAAAATATATTACAATTATTTTTTTGATCATTCAAAAAATCTAAAAAGAACATGCATATATACAATATATATATATATATATATATATATATATATATTACAATATCTAAAAATATTTAAAATTTTTATTTTTAATTAATTAATTATTCATTAAAGATATTATTTAAAAAGTATTCAATTATAAATTAATGAAATGTTCTTACTATTGAGTTATCTAATGTTTTTAAAATAAGTTATGTTTTGATAAATGTGCCATATGTTTAGTAATTTAACTTTTTAAAATGTGTATAGAATTTTAAAGATTTATGCATGTGCATTTTTTATTTATTATATTTTATTAAATTAATCTTCAAATAATTAATCAATTTGTATTAAAAATGTTAGATATAAAATATATTCATACAAAACTTTAGTTTGATTTGTACACACTAAAACATAGTATTTTAGGTTTCAACCTAGAATAGAAGTTGATTATTGTTTTTAGATTTAAGATTGTATTGTTCAATATTATTTGATTGATCATTTTGTAACAGGAAAAAGATTCTTTTGTATAGTGATAATTTCAGATCTTCATTATACAATTATCTAATGAATTTTTCATAGAATCACTAACATATTAATTCTATCAAAGCAACTCTATACTATAAAATAAGATTAATGTAGTTTTATTCTTCTATATAACATTTTTTTATATTGAAATTTATCACCAATTTTTATAAATTTGTAATAAAAATTTAAGTGTATTTTCTTTGAATATCTTTATATGAAAAATTAAAAACTACCTTAGACTATTTACATTCAAAACACATCTTAGATAGTTTCTTATTATATATTATAAATAAAATAAAATAATAAGTACTAAAATTATTTATTTTTGATATTTAATTAGATATTATATTTTTAAAATATTTAATTACTAAAATTAGTTATATATATTCTTATTTGCATGACTTCTTAAATTCTTATTTTTATAAATTCTTATTTTTATGTATTTAAATAGAAAAATTAATTAATTATTATATATGATTTCGATCCAAATAAAAATATGAATTGTATATATTTATAAAACCTCTATTAAATTAAATATCTTCTAAATTTTATAATAATTTTTTTAAAAAATATTGAAATAATTATATTAAAAAATAATTATATATATATATCAAAAAATAATATATCAATTTTAAGTTTATATTTAAATATTAATACTAAATTTTAATTACATTTCTAGCAAATCTTAAATTTATATTTAATGTTTTAGTCTTAAATTTGTATACTAAATTAGCTATTTTCTTTTAACAATGTTTAATAGAGATTATAGGTTTTAACATGATCTTTTCATTATATTTTCTTTTGTTTTTTAATTTCACATAATTCATCTAATGTTTTCAAATTATATAATTATATAATACAATACTTCATTCAATTAGACTTTGTCTACAATACAATTCAATAACAAAGTACCTAGTTTATCAAAAAAGTAAAGTGCAACTTTTACATGTTGTTTATTTTTATCTTTGTTTTTTTTTTCCAACTCTTGTAGCTATTGCATAATCTCCTAATCTATTGCCACTCTTCTACACCTTCCAACAACATAATATAATAATTTATAATATTTTTTTTAGATAAAAAAATATTCACCATTTTTGAAAATATTTTATTATTTTATTATTTTTATAAAATTGTGGATCTATTTTTGTAAACGAATTCAATATCAATACATATAAAGAAATTGCCAACTTTAGATTTAATAAAAGAAGGTTACATAAACAAGTTTATTTTTTTGAAGCCAATATTTTATTCAAAATTTTAGGTGATAATGCTTTAAATGTTGTGAACAAGTTTGAAATAATTTTGCTAGTTTTAGAGTTGGATTCCTACATACCTTTAGTAAATTTGATCAACTTGTAGCCCATCCATACTTTTGATGCCCTGAAGAACAAAAACTTCTTCTTATTGGGTGTGTCTGTGTACATATCTACACATGAGTCTATACAAAAGGATGGATGAGAGCGAGGTTGAGGAGTTCAGCAGCACGAGGCGTAACAACCTATGCCACACACTCTCTCATGCATTGGGGAGATCCACCGACAGCCTGGATTTGAGGGGCATGCGGCAGCACAAGTCCAAACTACCAATGCAGCAGCAGCAGCAGGATGAGGAATTTACTTGTCCACCATCCATGCAGCCAGGCACTTTGGTTTGCAGCTCACTTGGCCTTGCGACGCCGACCGTGATGCGAGCGTACAACATGAGGGTCTTCACAACCCGAAGCTCAAGGAGACCCACATCTCGAAGAATCCTAAAAGAAGAATAAAAGTCTCCGAGAGCTGTCGGGAGGGAGGAAGGTGTTGAATCCTGTGCGGTCACTCCGGATCCATGTCCATGGGACCCACGTTGGGAAAGGTTCGAACACTTCGCCGCCGCTGCAGTTGGATCGCTGGTGACGGGGTAGGCATCGACTGGAGTTTCGATCTGGATCCCAGACGTGTTATCAATTCATGGTGTGATTTGCAACTCTAAACAAATACAGTCTTGAGGTTGAACCGATCAGGTCGACCCTTGCCAAAAACTTCAACTTGTTCACTTTTTTGTGAGTTGTTGCTCTTTGCAACTACGAATTCTGACTGGCCAGAAGAAGAGTCGTTGGGAATGTCGACTTCGGTAACACGCATTTGAAACTGCCCATACACACATACACACACAAAAGAAAAATAAAGATATCATCCTTCAATCAATTATTTAATGCAACTCAATATATTGTATTTTGGATCTTAACAACACATTACAACACATCAAATTGCATCAAGTTCTTTCGTGGACACACATCCAATTTTTTAGTTAGATAGTTAAGAAATAGAAAGAAAAAAAAATAACATTCAAAAGTGGAAACAAAAATGGTGCTATTCCAATAAGTATAGTTAGTGGAATGTATAGTAGGAAATAGAAAAAAATACTTATAGAATTAGTCAATATCTTATACTTTCTGTAAGCAATGGGCATATTGCTACTTTGCCTTGGTCACAAAAGAATGCAAAAAATAAAAATAAAAACATAGATATTTTGTATTGAATGTTTTATAGATAGAACTAATTAATTGATTAGAGACATAAGGGAGTGTATCCATTCGCTAATCATAGTATTATTTTTTAATCAGTAACTTGAGCAGAGAACTCTGCCGAATGTTCACTTCTAGTTGGTTCTCCCTATTCATTGATGCACGAGTAGCTTAGAACTTTTGTCGGTGAACATAGGTACCCATACATGTTCACCGACATCTGGAGCAGATTCTTAAAATATATGCATCTGATTCGAATCAGAGAGCTCCATTTCATCTACGAATGTGAAGATGAGAGACGGGAGATCTGAACCAAGCCAAAATCCTGACAAGTGCGAAAAAACTTCCGAAGCACGCAACTGCTTCAGTACACTCAAAAACCCAACGTATGGCTTTCAAAGTATTACAACTACATTTAACCTTCTGAAGACATTGCATCTTAGGCGTGTAATAACACGCACTTCAATTGCGTTCTCTCAACACAGCATCTTGAGCACGATAACCACTCAACATTTCCTCAACATGAGAGAACCACAAGCACCGTTTGCAGAGGTTCCAAAAAACCAGTTGAGAATCAACTTATCGAAATGTATTCAGCACAAGACGTCATGAGGTGTTCATTTACAAAACTCCAAACAAAACAACACTCGGTGTAAGCATGATAATAGGGGGAATTAATAGTCAAGTGACCGGACAGAATTGAAGCAAACTACAATTCAAAATGGTTTCTACTAGGCTATCTTAGACTGACATAAACCTCACAGAGTATTCTACTTTGAGAGCACGTAGAACTCCACTTTGCGCTGCAGTACCTCTTCATCAGAAAATCCATCATTGCGAGGCACGAAAAGAGCAAATTCTAGCAAAAGCTACTGTAGCACGGCGGTCAACAATGCATTTTTCAACTGAGGAAATGATTTCTACAGGGTTTCTACTTTAATCTGACATAAACTTCGCAGGGTATTGTGCTATTGCCAATATCAAATCCTGGGAGTACGTAGAATCCCACCTTAAGCCCCTGTACTTCCTCTTCAGAGGATGGGTCATCAAGAGGCACGACGGAGCACATTCTGGCGAGATCCAATGAAATGCCGCGGTCAACAATAAATTTCCTCGCGGGTTGTCTAAAAGAGAAAGCTAACCTATGCAACAACCACACCGACACTGCAAGTTTGCAGAAACTAGTGAAGAACTTCAAATCTTGAGGATTCTGCCCGACGTAGTAGAACTTGCCTTCACTATCACTAAAATGGTCTTTGATTTCTGCCTCGTGCACAAACTTGAAAAATCTCTCAAAGCAAAACTTGCGCAACGATTTGTCAATCTGTGAATCCATCTGGATTACTCTTTCAACCATGTCAGGAAACTTTTTGATATCGTGCACCTGATACTGCTGGAAACATGACTGCGGCGTCCACACAGGCTTGGACATGCTTGCATGAGAACTATGAAAGCTTTCATATTCAAAGCTTTCGAATAGGATACTACAAACGAACGCTTGGTGTTGAAATTTGCTGTGTCCAGATCTAGAAACTGCTCCAGTACGCTCCTGAAGAGCATCAAAGCGTGAATTCTGCACATATGGTCTCAACAATTTGCAGAAGTTGATGGAGGCATCCTTCACGGCATTAAGAGCATTAACGAAAAGAGCAGGAGTTGCCGCTTTCGTGTCATCGAGATATGATCCAGGAGTGAGTAGCTCATCTGCACGTTGTAGCTCAGAGCGGGACAGCTGATTCTTCAACTCATTATTATCCAGTTGAAGTTGCTGGATACGTTTCCACAACGCACTATTATGTTGATGCAGTTCATTGATCTTTTCATCTTTATCTTTCAACGTCTCCTTCAAGGACATACAAGCAGTACGCCAATCTTCAATTCTTTTCCTCAGGTGCTCTTCTTTCGCATGTTTCAAATGACTATTGACCTGGTCAACACATTTCTGTCGTTTGAGTTCCTCCTGGAGCTCGCCGATCAATAGTTCTTTCTTAATCAATAATTGTTCAAAATCGCGAACATGAATACCTGCGAACCCTTCTTCTCGGAGCCTCCATGATTGTGTTCCGTCCAAACGAGATCCACTTGTTTCCAGTTTATTAGACTCCGGCAACACACTTAATGCTTCGCTGCAAGTAGGCAACTCTTTGATCTTCCCCGACACACTGGGCAGAAGCGACTCCTCCGTTTGTGGCAGTACATTCGAAGGTTCGCACGAGGTGGCAGGCTTCGTAATCCCTGACGACGCACTCATGTCTTCCAACACATTGAAATCATGACTGCACGGTGCGGACTCCGTTGGATCCTTCCGTTCATGTTGCAAAGCTGGACCTTCGCTAAATGCTAGTGAAGCAGAATGGGACACTCCGCTCTTCGGCAAATGAAGCAAATCAGTTGCCAAAACCTCCTTTCCCTCGTCATCAAGAGGAATCGGGAATGGCTTTGGGGATTCCTCAGCACCAGAAGCTGAGATCGTAATTGAAGTTCCAGCACCCGCAGTGTCCTGATCCTGTGCTACGAGAGTGGACTTGATGCTTGAAGCTTCTTCACTAGGAATCATATGTTCCTCAGGTCCAGAAGCTGTGGTCGTCTTCGAAGTTCCTGTGCTTAGAGTGTCCTGCTTTTGTGCTACGGGAGCTGACTTCATGCTTGAATCTTCTTCACAAGGAATCATATGTTCCGCAGCTCTAGAATCTGACGTCGTATTTGAAGTTCCTGCGCTTGGAGTGTCCTGCTCCTGTGCTACAGAAGCTGACTTCATGCTTGAAGCTTCTTCACTAGGAATCATATGTTCCTCAGCTCTAGAATCTGACGTCGTATTTGAAGTTCCTGCGCTTGGAGTGTCCTGCTCCTGTGCTACGGGAACTGACTTCATGCTTGAATCTTCTTCACAAGGAATCATATGTTCCGCAGCTCTAGAATCTGACGTCGTATTTGAAGTTCCTGCGCTTGGAGTGTCCTGTTCATGTGCTACGGGAGCTGACTTCATGCTTGAATCTTCTTCACAAGGAATCATATGTTCCTCAGCTCTAGAATCTGACGTCGTATTTGAAGTTCCTGTGTTTGGAGTGTCCTGTTCCTGTGCCACGGGACCTGACTTGAAGCTTCGAGCACCTGAATGTCGGGGAATCTGTTCATGCAACTCGGTAGCAGGACTCGTGCTTGGGGTCTTATTTCTTGTGTCGATCTGTTCATTTACATCAGGAACTGCCAAAATGCTTCGAGCCGCTTCACAAGAGGTAGTATTTTCCTGTATTGCTGGACCTGACAACATACTTGAACGCTCTTCGATCTGGTCTCGAAATTCACCATATCCCGTGGTGCATGCATCCTCTGCCCTCGAGCCAGTCTGTTCCTGCGGAGCAATAAATGAAACCTGGGTAAGAGTCTTCGACCTGAATGTGTGAGGGCTGATATCAGATTCATTTGTCGCAAGCTCCTGCATCGACACATCTTGACTGAATGATATTGGATGTGGACAAGACTCCTCTCTCGTGGAAGAGTGATCCGTCCCAGCTCCCCAGGAATTCTTTTTCAGATCGCCACTTGCAAGCTTCCTTTCACTACTCGTACCCCTTCCCGAACCAGCGCATACATTTGCTGAGTGTACAATGTCCTTCATTTCTTTGATCCGATGAGTATTCTCCTCGAACTTCGCAACAAAACTTGCTACATCATTGTTCTCTTGGGCGATTTGGGCAGCAGAGGCATCTTGGATTGGTTCGTTAGTTTTAGGATATCCACCTCCACCGGTGGATTCTACGTCATCACTTTTGCCGCCGTCATAGTCACTGCCCGAACATACTTGTTGTGATCCATCTTTATCATTCGCTAAGCTGGAGTCATTCGTTTCAATCCTACTCTCATCCTGTTTATTTGACTTCTCTCCATGAATTGCCAGCGACACCTCTGGACCTCCACCTTCTTTCGCACCACCCTCCGTTGTCTTCTCAACCCTTTGGTTTCCCGCGTAAGCATGACCAGTTTCGTTAGAAAAAACAAGCATATTCTCGTTCCGACAATGTAATCCTCACGTAAGAATTGAACTACTACCAGCCTTGCTCATAACAATACAACTCTCTTCCGTGTTTTCAATCTCAACCAATACTTTCAGATTCAACGGAGTTGACATGCCCATGCCGGAAAATCCACTTTTCAATCTGAGCATCCAAACGGACAACTTGAATGCTGCTAAGTAACTTAGAATGATCCTCAGACTTTCACACATCCTCCTGTACTCAAACTGACGTCTTTAATTCACTCTTTGATCGCTATTAAAGGTAAAAATAAAAAGAAAAAAGGAACGGGGATTGTAGACTAACAATCTAATGCGCGTCCACCACAACCGTGCAAAGAGAAATTTCTAGTGGAGAGTACTGTGCAAGTTGGGAGCGTCATACCAATCCCTAAACTAATGATAACGAATCGCAACATCAGCCATGTCCACACTTAGAATTCGGTTGGGCCCAAAATCGCGCCAAAATCGCTGCGAAGGGGAGCCACGAAAAGACTTGTGGGCATACTGTAGCACACAAGCAATGAAAAATGCATCCAATAGATACTATCCCTTTCTTCATCAAAATATGGACAAGGATCCCCAGGATTTGTGGTGAAATGCGAAGGCAGAAAATTTGAAATCCTTGAAAGAAAAAACAATTGGTAACAGGGTGGTGTCAGGAAACACAGAATCCATCTCCCATACACGCATGGACACTGTCATACACTCTGGAACCTCGTCGACCACCAATCCTTGGTTGCAAATCTTCAACCGACACCTCAAGCTCCAGAACTCAACGCAGTCTATGTAATTCTAGAACACCTAAAACAACCAGCATGGACAGAACCCTACAATCCAAGCAAACTCCCAACCAATCTACGCGCATCCATCTTAACCGACACAAAATCACCAATTCGGATCCCATTGAAACAAATCGCTCTCGAGTGGAGTTGCCTCCACACCCCCTACCACATTAATAGCAATTATCGCACCGACAGTCATTAGATCACTCTGGAATACACACAATCATCACATCGACACAATGGGGTCGATCTCGACCTTACATACCTTCCGGGGCAGAATCCGTCGACCCTTTCCTTCTCCGCAGTCTGCATCGGGACCTCTGCCATCGAGATCTCGTCGTCCTCCCCTCCCCCCATTAATTGTGAAGCTCGACGCCAAAAACCAAGCGCCGCTCCCGATCAGCTCCGACCACCCTCCCAAAGCAGCCTCAGTCGCAGCCCGTTGAAATCGCGAATAAGTGCGAGATTTGAGCAGCACATATACCCTGGATAGAACACAAGTCCAGTGCTATTATATGGTAAGCTCGCAGCTTGCTCCGGCGACTAAACACGGAGTTCCCGCTTCTGACTCTGCCCTCCCTCAACCTATTCCTACCATCACCATAACCTCGAATGATTCTGATGCACCTCCTCAAGCTCCCCCCCGACTCGCTCTCGGCGTACCGACGAAACGCGGTCGAAGAAATTCTAGGCATAGCTAGAGATGGGAACGGGATTGGGCAGCCGCTGCGGGGATGGGTGCCTCGAAGCTTCTCCGGGCTTGGTCATGGGCCCCACTCGGGGTCATGGCGATGGATGATGGATGAGATTGTGGGATGTAGTGTTAGTTGTCGTCCAAGTGGGCTTTTGAAAGGATTTTGTACAACCTTACTTATGGTTTGAAGGAACAAAGTAATTTTCTAAAAACAATGGAAGAGTCTTGTCATGACATGTCTGGAAGTTTTTATTTAGCACATGGGGTGTGTTTCAATCAAACCAACTACCTCAAGATTTTTGATTTGAGTTTCTAGATTTCTTTTTATAAAGTTTTAATATATTTTTTTAATCCATCTTTTGTTTAATTTTCTTGAGGTTCCTAAATATATCAAAAAAACTCCTAAACTCTTTTGTCATATTTACTTCCAAAAATCGCACATTATTGTACTAAAAAATAATAACTTTTTAATGAATAAAAATAATTAAATAAAAATAAAATTTTTATTTTAGAATAGTCATTTTTACTTGCAATAATGTGAAAGTTTTCTTGATTTGACACTTATAATCTATATTAACATCTTATTGAAAATTATGAAAGACTTTTTAATGTCTTATATTTTCAAAACCATCAATTTTTATTACTAAAAATGTGATAAGGTAAAAAAAATAAAAACATATGTTGTTGGCTACAAAAAATGTATCTAACAACAAATATTTGTTAATTTATTTATTCATTGGGAGCTTTCGAGGTCTATGTTTAGTGATCTTGTAGTACTATTCTTGGCTATTTGTAGCAACATGTAAATTTTAATCTATGATTGATCAAAAGTTTAGGTATTACTTCATTTTTGATGAAAGTAATGAGATATTGTCACGAACATACATATTTATTATAATAATTATCTATATGATTAGAAAAAAGTAAGTAAAAGTAGATTAATTTCATAATATCTCTTAGAAAAGTTTTTTAGAAGCTTTATAGATATGGCTTTAATTTTTCACATATTTTTAATTGATTGATAGATTAAAAACTTGGTCAACAAGTTAACCATATATCATACATATTTTTAGCTTATAAAACAAGCTTATTATGTGATGCATATATAAAAAACTTGCCTTGTAAATTAAAATATGTATATTATAAAGTCAACATGTATTAGAAGGCACATAGAATATCACTACATAGATCTTAATTAGATAGTATATATGGAAGCAAGAGTGAAGCATTCTTCACTCTTATGAATGCCTTTTTTGTCTTTAGTCTTATTTCAAGACTTTCTAGTCTTATTGTCTTTAGCAGTAGTCATTCTAAATCAATATATTACCATCTTTAAGTGATTATTTAGTCTTTTTGGATAATACAAGAATGTATTGAGATTTTTTTTTCTTTAAAATGCATATCCTTGACAATTTAACAAGATTTCTAATTCATTGTTTTCATTTTATTCTAGAAAAAAATGAATTATTCTACTTTTATTAGTATATTTTAAAGATTGCAGATTATTTACTTTGAAATAAATTGTTTAGTTTTTTAATATTAATTTTTTTCTTAAAAAGAGTAAATTATCCATCTTTGTAGAAATTTTTATTTGACATTAGAGGTTGCAAATTATTCTTCTCTAATTTGACGTGTGGATTTGTTAAGTTTTTTGAAATAGAAAGAAAAATTATAGATGTTATATTTGACTGAAGTGAGAATAGATTTGTAACTATTGCAAATCTTCACGAACTTGTCAACACTCTTAAGATGGAAATTTCATGCATCACTAGTGTCAACCAAAGAAACACTAATCCTATGCCAATGACAGAAGTTCAAGGTCTGCATCAAAAAATTATGTAGTTGAAAGAAGCAAGTAGATCAACCTCATAACCAAATCCAAAAAGTTTTGCTTCTATAAGTACAATAGAGATAGGGATTAATATGCCTAAGAAGTTTGATGGAATAAGATTTAAATTTGAAGATTTTTGCAACAAGTGAAGCTCTACTTAAGATTACATTCCTTCTAATATTTTGATGGATTTATTCAAATTAAATTCATTGGTGCACTTCTATTTGGAAGTACACTCTTTTGATTTGTACCTTTGATGGAAAAGAATTCATGACTTCTTTATGATTTGAATTCATTCCTAAAAGTGGTTACAGCCATATTTGGAGAAAGTGATTGAGAAAGAGTAATAGAGACTAAGCTCTTATCTTTACAATAAAAATCATAATTAGCCACTATATATATTGTTGAATTCTAAAACCTCACTTACAATGTAGACTAGAATGGCAGAGCCTTTATCAATCAATTCTAATATGAGTTGAGGACAATGTTAAAGATTTGTTATTGATAATATCAAAAAAAATCTTTGAAATAATTTATTATTCAAGTTATTATATAAAATAATTATTTATTTGAAAGTTATAAAGAACAAAGATTTAGCTAAAGAAGAACAAGTCAAGTAATGACAATAATTCCTAAGTTTTTAAAAACTTATTCATCAAGGTTGGAACCAATGCAAATTAATATGGTATGTTTTAAACTTCTTATTGAGAAAGAAGAGACTCATTGTCATCAAAAAGGTTTATTCCTATATTATAGAGAATCCAAACACACTCTTTAATATTGTCTTAAGAAATAATGCAATTACAAAATAAAAAGTATGGTTGCCAAAGAGAACAATGTATCAAAAAAAAAAATCTCTCCAATTACAATAAAGACTATGTGGCTAGAATCTTATGTAATTTCCAGTAAAGATCATATTCTCTTGTTAGATCCTTTACCATATTTTATAATAGAAGTTTGTTTAGAATTAAAAAATCACAAAGTCTTAGACTTGTTGGATTCAAGAGCCTCATCCTATTTTATAGACGAAGACTTTGTCAAGAAATAAGATATATTCTTAATTAAAAAAAATCAAACCAATGCATGTAGAAGTAATAGATAGTTTTTCATTGTCTTTGGAGGATGTTACACATGAAACTATTCTTATAGAAGTAGCAACTAGTTGTCATAATAGTTTAGAAATATTTAAAGTGATTAGATCTCTTTCTAACTTAATTATTTTAGAATTATCATGGTTAGAAAGATTTAATCTTGAAATAGATTAGATTTCTTGTAATTTTGATTTTTTCCATAGTTTAGTTTAAGATTTTGCTAGGTAAGAAGAAATCTATAGGATCAATATATCCAAACTATTATTAGTAGATGCAAGAACTTTTATACATATTGCAAAAAAAAAATCAACTTTTGTTATATATACCACACCTATTGTTGATGGAAAAAAGTTTTCAAGTAGAATTCTAAGCCAATATGAAGATTATCAAGATATCTTTAAAAAGAAGAATATAGATATTCTTCTAGAGTATTATTTTTATGATTGTTCTAGTAATCTTTAAGAAGGAGCTCAACCACCATTTGAACTAATCCATAGCCTATCACAAAACAAGTTGGTTGCACTCAAGAAATATATTGATGAAAATTTGGCTAAGAAATCCATTTTAAATCTTTAGTCAAGACTCCTATTTTATTTGTAAAGAAAAAAGATAGATCTTTATAGAAGTGTGTGGACTATCAAAGACTAAATAAGTTCATTATTAAGAATATATACCTTCTATTCTTGTTTATAGGACTTCTTAATCAATTGAATCAAAGAAACATCTGAACAAAAATAGATCTACAAAGAACATATAATTTGATACACATTAAAAAAAAAGACAAATAGATAATTACGTTTCAAACTAGGTATGGGTATTTGAATATAATATCATGTCTTTTTGATTCACAAATATACCAATTCTTTTTTAACATTTAGTGAATGATATTTTTTATAAGTTCTTTGATAATTTTATTATCTATTATAAGACCAAAATCAATTATTTCATGTCAATACGTCTTTTGAATCGTAGCTAAGATCATTGAAGCATGTTTTTATTGAAGGTTTATAAAAAAATCTTTTTAAGATATTCTTATCTTATACTAAAAAAAAGAGATATAGCTTTTGGTCAAGAAAGAACAATCTCCTTGAAGCCAAAGTATTTTCATCTTCAAGAAATAAAATCAACATTGACTATTGATTTAACTTTTGTTAAGTAAATTCAATTAAGTATGTCATCTGATTTTTTTATTCATGATATCAAGAAAAAATCTTTTAAGTCTAATGATACTTCTAATTTGAGTTCAGAAATAATCTACTCTATTTTGAAGAAAAATTATATACTTAAAAAAATAAAATACAATTACGTGTTCTTCAAGCTCATCATGACTTTTCAGCAACCAAACATTTTGAATAATAAGACTTTGGAACTAATATCAAAAGATTTTTAGTTGCTTCAAATGTAAAAGGTAATTAAAGACTTTGTACAATCATGTGATATTTTTTCAAGATCAAAAATTCCTTGTCATCAACCTTATAGACTTCTCCAACCATTACCTATTTTGGAACAACTATGTTTTTTTTTTTTTTTTTTATTATTTCTATGGATTTTATTACAGATATTTTAATCTCAAATATGTATGATTTTATATTTGTAATAATAGATTATTTTATCGAGATGGCATATTTTGTATTATATACAAAATATATCATAGGTAAAGAAATGACTAAGCTTTTTTTTAGTAATATCTATCGCTATTATGCATTGTCCAAAGATATTATATTAGATAAAGAGACTTAATTTGTATCAAGATTTTGAAAAATCCTTTTCAAGATTCTAAAGGTGGATATAAAACTCTCTTTGATCTTTCATCCTAAACTAACGAGCAAATAAAATGGGAGAATCAAGTTCTAAAGTAGTATTTGAGGTATATCATCAACCATCATTAAGATGATTGAACAAGTCTTTTGCCATTGACAAAGTTTATATATAATAATTGAATATGAATTTCTACTCAATAAACACCTTTCATTACTAGTTATGGTTATCATCTATGATTTAATACTTTTGACTTTTTAAAAATTGATAATCTTGCAACAAAAGATTTGGCAAATCATTTGT